AATATAAAGTAGTTCACGAGTGCAGCTATCAGTTATTGGTAAAACGGTAAGAAATCAAAATAATATAATTTAATTATTATTTACACAATAATAAAAAAAATATTTATAAAGTAGGTATACACGTCAATGCGTAATCGTACAAGCTATAAAATCCCACGAAAAGGGCCTAAACATTTTCCAAAAAAACCCAAAAAACATGAATAACCCCTACACTACTCGGGTTAAGTAGGTACCTAGCAACCCTAGGGTAAGCAGCGCAGCCTTTGGCCGATAATCGTGGGGCTCATTTCGGTAAGTTTTTTCCACAGACTTCTCTACGGTAAGGAAATAAACGAAATAAGAACATCACAATAAACACGAAATTTCCGCAGACAAACGACACTTGGTCGGCGGTGGTGGGTGGTGACTGCAAATTTCGAATAAAAGTGATAAGTGTCGTGTGTTGTTGACAATTATTTTATTTGTCGTGATAAGACCTGAAATCAAAAAACTGACAAGTCGCTACGGTTTGAGAGGACGCTACACGGACACTTGTTGTCTCCGTCTTACGAGTGCATAACACGACAAATGTATACGCTCAACAGGTCGCACCCGACGAGCCTACAAATACCATAGATCCGTAGGTAAGTATTACCTTAGATCATAGATGATATGATGATCATAATGTATATGATCTAAGAGTATTACTGTTGCGGAGCCACAACTGTTGTTCATGTATTTATTCGATATCTACGTCGGTGATAAGATAACATTCAAATAATTACCGCGTGAATTTAAATATTATAATCATTATTATTAATATAAGTAAATAATAAAATTGAGTATTGTAATTTTTACATCCTAAATCTAAATTATTATACTTATAATAAAAAAAAGGTACTGGTCTAGTTGACCACCGCCAGGAAGGCAATTCCCCCGCCACTCAAGTTTAGTTGACGCCCGACACTTACATTTTGTATTTTCGATAACCAATAATTTATATAAAAATGTACGATTAATAATACATTATACATTTATGATTATACAGAACAATTCATGCTCATTCCAAATTCACGTTTGCAAAAGTCCACTGATGTCAGTTCATGAGCCCAACCATAAATGAAGTGAACAATAGTTGGCAACTTTACCTTGGCACTTTGTATCCAATTATTTTTCTTGAGACCTTTTTCTGCTCGACATGATCTTAAATGACATCGCCACCGACCCCTTTGTGTATCCAAAACCATTTCATGTCCACTGTCACAAGTCCTAGTCTTATGGAAAATATTTTGGTTTTGCAAACAAATTATTGCCGATGATAAAGATCATGTACGTCACTATAAATTTGTCGGAAATTAATTTTCTTTTTGTTCAGATGACGACAACTGAATAACTGAGCTAGGTACTTCATAATATTATATACGGCACCCGCTGTTATACCTATCTTATATAATTCATTTTACTACACGGATTTTACCAAATATAATTCTTAAAATATCTAATTAGAGAATTTCACACAAATACCTAACGTTTATGATTTCGTACCTTTTTTATCTGCACTCTGCAGTATATCAGTATATTATACATTTTATAACATAAAAAATACGAGAGATGTAGGTAAGTGGCGGGCTTCAACTAAACTTGAGTGGCGGGGGAATTGCCTTCCTGGCGGGGGTCAACTAGACCAGTACCAAAAAAAAAAAAAAAATGTAATAATGAAAATTCTAACACGTCCTATAATTTCGTTATTAAATATACTTATTAGGTACCTATTTAAAGTTGTGAAGTTGAAGTTTAATTGTATAGGATATAAATTCATAATATTAAATAGGAACACCCGCAGTATTACTGTATTAGGTACTTATATAGGCATACTATGTTTAGGTACCTATGCGGCTATACTAGTAGGTATAAATAAATTATGAACTTCATGTCTTCGTCATATTATTGAATAGGTATGCAATTTCTGCCTTAAAGATTTAACCATGTTTAATCTGAGTCACAATTAAACTTTTATAACTTTTAAATATTTTTTATTTGTATATAATACTATGTATATGACTTCAGCGCTTTTGTCATTGGAAATTGTTCATGTTAAATATATTTGAATTTGAATTGAGCTTGATTTATTTTATAATAAATTAATAATTATTTTCATTGTATGCTTTTATTTTAACACTACTGCTTATTTTTACTCTTATTATTATTATTATTATTTCTTATACAGTTGAATTGGCGATTGGCGTTAATCATTATAAATAAATAAAATAAAATATTTTGCTAGTTTATTTTAAATAAAACATTTTTATTAATTTATAGTTTTATTGTCATTTCAGGAAAAACTAGTAATCGTAGCTAGATTATAAATCTACAATATTAACTTAAGTTAGGAAAGTAGTAAGAAAAATAATTGAGGTAAGTTGTAGGTACAGCATCAGGTAGGTAAGTAACTTTTCTTTCAATTACCTATGAATAGGTAATGTTATAAATACCAAAAATTTTCAATAAAAATCAAATTTTTGTTATTTTATATGCTTATTATAATGAAAACCTTCTAACTTTAAATTTACAACTTGTTATTTTATTCCCAACATACAAATCCTCGCAACTTCCTTTACATTTATATAACAAATGTAGGAGTCCACAAGAAAAGCATACCTATTTCAATACTTGTTATAGGTATTATAAATTATAATTATCTACTAATAAACTATTTACTTATCGTTAAATTATTTATATATTCTGTTAATTTAATCATAAAGAATTTGTGGAAATTAAAAAATAAAGAGATGCCAAGTTTTAAAAACCAGTGGCGGCTCGTGGTGTTCAAAGTAGGTGGAGTGCAACTATTGCAAAAGTTTATTTAAAAAAAAAATTAGTCTGTTCTTAGTATAAATGTAATTAGTAAAATATTTATTAGCAGTTTTAATTTTGAGATTATACGCAGTTTTAGAAAATATTATATACTAGTTAGGTATAGCATATTATTTTATTTATTGTCACAACAGACAACATGTCATTAATAATAATATTAAAATAGAAAAACGGTGGAGTTTACAAATGAAAGCCAGTGCAGAGCTGCATGCGCTGCGTTGATATCTTTCTCCGTGTGTGTGTTTATCGCGTGTGACTGCCTGACGAGTGTGCAGTAGGAGCTATAAGTCACATATAATTGCCGATTCGCCACTCGACAACCAAACGTATTTTACAGTTTACACGGACAGACGGTGTTCAGACTGAGCTGCACACCAGTTGATGAGTATTTGTTGCATAGCTCGATTACATTTTAGGAGTATAATAATAATTGTCGTTTGTTTGTTTTTAAAATTTAATTTTTTTATATAATAAATACAATTTAACAGATATTACATTAAAATTAATTTATTATTATACATTTTAACTATTATATCTAATTAATCTATGTGGTGTGCGCACACCTGCACACCTAGGCACGAACAGGGCCGGCGTTAGCTAATATTTGTGAGGGGTCGTGGTTAACGAAAGTGACGACTGAAATTCATGCATAATTATAAGACACTAAAAAAAAATTTTTGCGACACTCAAAATGTCAAGTTTTTGTTTCGACAATTCCATACTATGTTGGAGCAAAAACTTATTATAAAATCTTGATAAATGCATGTTTTTATACATATTTTTCAATATTCACTATTAATTATGATATTGTTCCAGAGTAAAAATTCGTCAAACCGTTTATAAATAAAACAATAAAACTAATAATGTTTTTGTATCATATGATAAAGAATAAACAAAATCCTAGAGACATTTTTCAATTATTTAAATCACTATTTACCAACAATATTGCCTTTTTAGTTTTTACTTAGAGTTTTTGATCGAAGCTGATTTTTTAGTATCTCTATCTATTTTGATTTTAAATGAGCATCATAAAACAATAACTATTTTTTATAACAAATAAGTATTATAATATATTACATTTTACAAAATATCATTTAACATTGTCAGAATGTGCATTCCAAATACAAAAATTATAAAAAAATTATATATATAATAATTATATATTACACCAAAATTTTTCTTTCTTTTAACGATGCCATATTTGTATCATATTTGTCATTTCAATATTATCTAAAATGTCTTTCTCAGAATCAAGTATAATCAAATCATTTAATCGGGAACTGGTCATAGTAGTTCTTAAATGGTTTTTGATTAATTTTAGCTTGCTGAAACATAGTTCATTTGAAGCTGTGGTAACTGGTGATGTTAATGCCAAACGACAAAGTTCATTAGCCATAGGAATTAATTGGTTTATTTTAATTTTTTTTTTTTTTTTTGTATTTTTATATTTTATACATATTTTTGTTGTATTTGACAATGTGTTAATGTGCCGACTGAAATATTAGGTTAAATGAGTGAAGGGTCGTGACGACCCCTTAAACCCCCCCTCGCTCCGGCCCTGGGCACGAACCGCCACTGTTAAAAACCAAACTAAAGTCTTAAATAATATCGCGGAACGTGGAAAATTAATTCAAGATATTAGCACCGTGTGTAAGACAAAGATAGTTACACCATTAGTATGTTCCATCTCTTTCTAACATTCCCTTTCGGGCAACACTGCTTGGTGAGCATTCCAGTTATCATAATATAGTTCAATGGGCATATTTTGTAGGCTCGTGTCCCACCCGTACGGGTTGTCTCCGTCTTACACACCTAAGACATGGTAAATTTTCGTTGGCTAATGGCTGGTAAGGCACTAAAGAAGACGTCGTGAGTATGATCACCCGCCATTTTGCGACACAAGTTATCTAAACCACTTCGTTATCGAAAGTCGACTGTTCCGAGTTTTGAGTGTTTGAACGGAATTCTGTAAATTAAATATTTTATATTAATTGTTATTGCTTTACTGAGTAAAATCATTGATCGTAAACACTAGTATTTCATTTGATCAAAGTTCTAATATTGAAATTCCGCCATAGTTTAAAGAAATAACAATTAAGTTGTAAGTGGAAAATACCGCCGTCCGCCACAACAAAAATCAAATAAGAATGGGTGGATGTACGGCAGTAAACTGTTCGAATTCCCGTACGAAAGGTTTTCGTTTATTCCGTTTTCCAAAAGATGAATCCAGAAGAAAAATTTGGCTTCAAAATTGTCTCCGGGACCAATGGGTACCTACAAATTCGTCAGAGTTGTGTGAAGTAAGTTTTTTTTTTAGCATAAAGTAGGTATAATAGTTTATTTTTACAATTGACATATTTTGTTTTCTATAATTTACTCCTTAACATACCTAATATATTACTTTACTTACAAGAAGTAGGTAGGTATAATAGAATCAGAAAATAATTTCATATCTTATGCTTATTTCAATAGATTCATTTTGAGGAAAGTCAATTCGAACAGCATCGTCAAGATGGCATAAAAAAACTAAAACCAAATGCAATTCCGACATTATTTAATCATTAATCCGTTAATGTACCAAACCCACGTCGATTTTTAGAAACGAAAAGAAAATGTGATAGAAAAGAAAAATTATAATGTGAGAGTCCGTATTATTCTGATTTGTAAGTAAAAATATGCAGAATCCATATTTTATGTTAAAACAGATTTTTTTTTTTAATTTTATAATTAAGATAAGGTAATTTAAATATTTTATAATATTTGTCTGACAATATTATTACATGGATCATTTTATTTTTTGCTACAAATTATAAGTAAGTAGGTCAATATTAAAACATAAAAATAACCATGTCGTTTGATATGTTTTATCCAAAACTAAAAATGTACTGACATTTAAAAATATTTTTGTAATTTTGTTCATTAATTATTTAATAGATAGGAAATGTACTTTAATATAAAGTTTGGACAATCTTATTTATTCTTGAGTGAAAGTATTTTTTATGATTTTGTAAATAAGTTCCGCATGTATATGATAATATCTATTAAGATTAACACACAGTATGGTAAAACTATTCATCAACAACAAATTATCTTTTATAGCTCATCTTGAAGTACTGTACTTAATACATTAATTAATTTATAAAATTAGTTGCTTATTATAAATATGTATTTTACAGACTTTGACAGAGTGCAGCAGTCAAGGCTGTAGGGAAAATTCAAGTGATAGTTTTCAAAATGAAAAAAATGTTGTCACAGTTTGTAACAGTAAGTTTAAAGGGTAATTAATTTTAATTATCTCTTATAGATTGAAGAATTTTTGTTCTTTTTCATGTGTCTTAGGTTTTGGTCGTTTTGGAAAATAATGATGTATCTACCAATAATAGAAATCTTAAACTGAGAGATTCTGATTTTGTAAATGGTTCAACAATACTAAAAGAAAGACAAAAACTTTTTTTAGCTCAACAATAAAATACTTTTTTGAAAAGGAAATTACAGGTATAAACTTTATTAAACAGAAATATTTTTAAGTTTGATATAAATGTAATTATATTTATTTATAATTGTATTTATTTTTGCAGTTAGGTGTTAACGAAGCTAGCAATACTTTTTATTCGAAACTATTAGAGGGCAACAAATATCACTTGTTGTTGTTACATAAGGAAAAGAAATTAATGGAAACAAAATTGTTGATGTGATTGCCCATGTATGGCCATAACTTGAGCAGTTTTATGTAAGATCATGTTTGTAAGATCTTCTTGAGAAATTTCAACAGACTGTTCGGATTCAATCTAAAATCAAACATCAATAAATCAATTATATGTTCCCCATAAATATATTTTGATAAAATAAATTCTTACCAATTAACATAATGACCATATTACCATCTTATCATCGGGTATATTCTCATTGTGTAATACTTTCCTGACAAGCGCTGCTAATTTCTCAGTGTTTTCTATTTCATTGTTAGGAACAGGCGTTGGTACGTGGCCGTCTTCGATGTTACTCTTACCACAATCTGTATTTGAGCCATCATTATTTTTATTAACAGAATTAACATCACCAGATAATTGTGAAATGCTGTCACTGTTGTCGTCTGGTTTGGAGTCCTTTGGGCCATTAGAATTGCCATTGTATGCCATGACAAAAATTTTACTCTTAAAATGTTTAATGAGAAATTGTTTAGTAAAAAATATTATCTTCTAATAATTACCCAATTATAACACAATAGTTATAACAATAATTGTACAATTATAATTGTGGTTTTTCAAAATTTAAACTTAAAATGCTTATAAAAAATAAGTAGAACCTAAGCAATTCTTCACAATCTTCAATTTACTGAAGGTGTGCTCGTTTGATGCAGTTATAACCGGTGCTGTAAAAATCAATTTGCTTATTTTATTGCCAATAGTCAAAATATGTTTTAATTCTTAAGATACTTTAAATATTTTAGTTAATTTTAAAAAGGTTTTTATTGATACACTGATGGTGTAAAATATTTAATTCAGTTATAACTCCATCATAACCAATAACCATAAATATTAGATTCATTACAACCAGGAGGGAATATTTTTATAGCTGTTTTCAAACCATCTATTGAACAATTGTTTTCCCATGGAACCTTAAAAATGTTCAAAATGATCTATGATCAACATACAATTTTTTTAATGTTCAGAAGATAAATTTATAAATGTGTTTTAATTAATTTATTAAAATTGTTTAGTTTGAATTCCATTCTGTAAAAAGATTTTATAATGATTGTACACTGTGTACAAGCATTCGAGTATATCTTTTTGGGCTTCTCAATTCTTCGACAGTGGTCGGTTAAAATCTTCTTCTGGGTTAATATTTAATTTTTTAGCTAAAATTATTGCACTTTCCATTAAATTATCTACTGCCATATTAATTGTAATTAAAAATGTATAAAATGTTCAACTTTTATAGCTAAGGATTAAAAACTTAAAACAAGGTTCCACGCAAATAAGTTATATATAAATTACTTTATTCCCAATAAATGTCAATATAATATCATCAAATATACTTATTAATATCAAAGACTGACCGACCGTTATCGCTCAGAATCGTTTTTCTTATACAATGATATTATATCACTGAATTCAAATTTAATACCATCCATTACAGTGACCCACTTGTAACCTACTGTACAGCAGAGCGACATCCACTTGCCCACCTTTTTATTATTATTATTATTATTATACACCACCTGACCCTGTGACACTTTGTTGCTATTAGATCGCAATTGGCAGGCAAGGCAACATATCTTCTTCTGCCAGAGATCTATCCTAAATTGTTTGCGTTTGGCAATAATACGGTTAAATCGTCGTTGTTTGATTGTTTGTTGTAAGTAATAATATAATATTATTATTATTTATTGTATTATTATATATTATTTGGAGGGAACCAAGTGGTTGCAGATTGCCGTTGCATACTTAATATTTATTTAAAGTTTTAATTAACATATTGTTATTTTATATATTAAGTGGACGTAGTAGGTACAGTATTATGTGTTGTCTCCGTCTGCCAACTTCCAACGTATAATATACCAAAATATGTACGTCTGGTAGTTCCCATTTTGTCTTGTTAGTTTTATAAATGGGTATAATACCTATTAATGTTTAAAAATGCTCATAATTAGCTTAAAAATAAAAATACCGTATAAAAAAATAACGAGAAACACGAATAATGTTCATACATTTTAATATTTATATTAGATCTATGTTAATACTATAATAGATAGTTCCCTCTAATATTTAAGCAAACAACACAAAATTGGAACTGCTAGACGTAAATTTAAACATTTTGCAATCTATATATTATGCGTTAGAAAGACGGAGACAACTTAAGTGCGGATACGACGTTCTCTTAAAAATGAAATTTTGTCTCATAAGCTTACGAAATTTTTGTCGCAAAAAAGAATAAACGTGTTGACAGATTTTAGAACCACTAGTTGATTGGATATTTTTGGAATGTTTAGACAAAGAAAAAAAGTGTCGTATGAAGTTGGCTTTACCTTTATTGGCCAATGAAACAATTTTTGTAAATATTCATCATTAAAATATATACGTTTTTGCCAACCACAATTCACAAACAATACACGTAAACGAGAAGGTGTCAGATACTAGACTTAGTTGACTATAATAGTATAATGACTAGTGAGTACCTACAGTGACTACAGACCAACTCCGTCGGACTAATTCTGAGGTAGGTAGGTACCACTTGTACAGTTACACTGTAGAAATGTCGGAGAAAAACGTCGACGCCGGTTAAATATAAATAGGCAACATAAATTGTATGTTATTAGTTGAGTAGGTTCATTGTTTTTGGAATTTCAGAATTAAATATAAACAGCGTTACAAAAAAAAAATAGTACATTATTGCTACATTATACTCAATTATACAATATACAATATTGCCAAAATAATAAAAAAAAAGTACGCCGTGTACCTACTCTATTAAAACCCGTTCGTAAGTAAAAATCGTCGAAAAATATCATCGCCACTGTTTTTCTTGACGAACTTTTTGTCGAAACTCGTTTATAATAATAAAGCAACCCGAATCTTTGGGAACAGTAGATATTCATAAATGCTTAAGTTATCTAAATGTACCTATACCTATATAGGTGTACTTCAATTTGATATATTTTACAAATGAGTAGGGCTCGGGCCCCACAAGTTTTGTTCAAATTTAGAAGCCTCGCGTATGAAAAAAGTGGTAAAATTGGTTTAAAAATTGGTTTTTACCTCGAGCAGGGCTTCGGAAATCCTAAGGACAGCCCTGCTTATCATTACATAATCACCAGGGCTCGGATTTTAAAGAAAATGCTTCTTTTTATATATATAAGACAGAAATCTAATTTTTATACATAAATTCGTTTCACGTAATTCGGATTCCAAATAAACGATTTTATTTTGTGTAAATGCTTTTTTTTTGCTTTTTTATTGCTTTTCTCAGTTATTCTAGCTGTGGAATTTGAAGTGAGAGTTTTCACTTCAAACAATTTTTATTTAATTTAGAAGAAAAGTGAAAACCCGGAATACTGACTAAATTGTTATGTTGGATTATTATAGTTTTTATTATTTTCTTGATTGTATAATATAAATATAGATTTTATTGTAGATTATATTGCATATAGCCTGTAGAACCTACACTCAGTACTCGTATAACATCGTTATCGACCAGTAGAAATTTAAGTTTTAAAATGTTGTAATTTATAGCAATACCAAAAGTTAAGACAAATGCATTTTTAAAAAACTTAATTGAAGCTAATGTAGATATTGCAACTGCAATTTCGGGCATTTTCGGGACTCTTTTTGAGCTGTTTACGGACAATTACAGTTTTTAATTTTTTTAGTTCTTAAATATTTCTATAAATATCAATAAAGTTTTATTTGCTGGTCCAAAAAGTGTAAAAATGTAATACAAGGCTCCTGATATATTGTTACAATATCAGTTGAAAAATATTAAAAATACATAGGCACAATTTTTTTTATAAGCATTTAAAGATCGAATTAATTATTTTTTAGTTAAAAATTTATAAAATGTTCAAC